CACTCACTCGCTCACTCACTCACTCACTCACTCACTCACTCACTCTCACTCGCACTCACTCACTCACTCATTCACTCACTCGCTCACTCACTCACTCGCTCGCTCACTCACTCGCTCACTCACTCGCTCACTCACTCGCTCGCTCACTCTCTCGCTCGCTCTCACTCACTCACTCACTCACTCACTCGCTCACTCACTCACTCACTCACTCACTCACTCACTCACTCACTCACTCACTCGCTCACTCACTTGCTCGCTCACTCACTCACTCGCTCACTCACTCGCTCGCTCATTCTCAATATCTTCCATCCCTTAAGCAAAGAAAGCCATCTTTAGTAGTGAAGACAAAGGATGCCCAGAAACTAAACGAAAGGAGAGGAAGAGGGAAGAGAAAGAGGAGAGGGATAATGGCACGGAGATGGCGCGGCACGGCAATGCTGGCGCAGGTGTTGCCAATTAACAAATAAACAGCCAAAGTATAATGGAATCTTAATGAAGACTGTCAATATGATTTGCACAATGGAGTCTCTACTGGAGGAGGAGGAGGAGGAGGAGGAGAGAGAGGGAGGAGAGGAGGAGAGAGGAGAAGGAGGAGAAGGAGGAAGGAGAAGGAGAAGGAGAAGAGAAGGAGAAGGAGAAGGAGAAGAGAAGGAGAGGAGAAGGAGAAGGAGAAGGAGAAGAAGGAGAAGGAGAAGGAGAAGAGAAGGAGAAGGAGAAGAAGAGAAGAAGAAGAAGAAGAAGAAGAAGAAGGAAGAAGAAGGAGGAGGAGGAGGAGGAGGGGAAGAAGAAGAAGAAATAATAATAATAATTAGACGAAGAAGAAGTAGGTGGAGGATGAAAAAAATGAGGAGGGATGGAAGGAAGAAACAGGAGGGGGAGGAGTGGGAGGTGGAGGAGGAGGAGGGAAGAAGAAGAACAAAAAAAAAATAAAAAAATAAAATAATTAGACGAAGAGGAGGAGGAGGAGGAAGAAGATGAGGAGGGAGGGGAGGAAAAACAGGAGTAAGGGCAAAGAGTAGAGAAGGGTGAGGAGGAGGAGGAGGAAGAGAAGAGGAG